TTTTTTTTTCTTTTGATTGGATTACCGGGGAGAAGAAGCACTTACAAAATCTGCGTAACACATACGTATTGCACTGTTCAAGGGAATAAGTATGATATATGTTTAAAAACGGCATAGATAGCTATTGTAAATTCGTGGCAAGCGAACATCGCAAAAACCTTTTGCCCAGGCGAGGCTCAAAAAAGTTATCGAGCAAAAAGGCAATGAAAAGCAATTCTAGCAAAGAAATTTTAGTAGGATGCAACAGTTAGTCAAGCAAGGTTTTCAGACAAGTAAGAGAGGAAACAAAGGAATTCTGAGATATAACACTATAAAAATAGACGAAACGATTATCCTGAATTTCGGCTAATCCAAAAATGGTTGCTTCTGACTTATATGCATTCAAACAACTGAGGTTGAAAGAGACTCTTTAAAGACTTTAGAAAAGGAAGCTGAAAAACGTAGCCACACTATATATGGGTAATCAATCGACCGTTGAGCCCCCTCTCAAACCGCCGGTGCCAAAAGAGGTCTTCGGATCCTTCGAGGTCAGCCATATAGTCGCGAAGAAGTTAAGTATCATTTGATTTGAGAAAAGAAATACCTTCTTGTACATTAGGGCGATTTGGCAACACTTAGTGGTAAACTGGATCCCGAAAGGTACGAATAGTGCTTCTAGCGTGGCTCATATTATTTAGACATCAATGTAGTTGTAACTTTCTAGAGTGTTTACGCAATATTATCGTAGTACCATAAGGAGCTCGAACTTTACAGCGAGATACAACAATCACGTACTCAAACCTCAGCCAATTCTGAACGCAGTAGTAAGACAGGGCATAATACGTTATAGGAAGAGGCTAAGCTTTATTTACCGAGACCCTCATTGGTACTCTTGTAAGGCGAAGGAGACAATTCACTTAAAACTCCACGATAACAACATCAATACAGACAGTGGAATTGAGATTCCAGAACCGTGGCAGCCCCACGATCAGACAACAGCAGCCGAATGGTAGCACAGCAGACCGCAGTGGGAAAAATTTTTTCCTTTAATAACGCCAACAATGCTTCAGATCGAAGCTCGCCAACATCGAGTTAGATTCGAGTTACACCAATCACTGGCAATCATGGTGTTATTAATAGTCAAAGCTGAGTAAATCGAAACCATCTTCTGAATAACACAGCCACATACTGTTTTATTAGACATTTTACTCCTTTATTTGGAAGTAGGTGTGTTTTCCGCGCAATTTTATCAAGTGCATCGATTTTAATTAATTTTACAATGTTCAATTGAATTAGGGCCTGGGACTAGGGGGTTTATCCGTGGAAAACCTCGGCATAGATGATGGCGCTGAATCAAAATTTGGCACGCATAAAGAACTCATCGTCCTTAACATTTTAAAGTATATACAACGTGTTAATATGTCACGTGACCATTTTGCAAAAAATCGTAAATTATTGAGCAGTTGGTGGCCATTTAAAAAAAAAATCAAGCGATGACATTTTTTCTTGTTCATATTACATGGGTTCTGTAGGTCTGAGTGACTTTTAACTCATAATGTAAAATGTCACTGGTTCTAATTTTTTTCTTTCTAGCAGGTAGATTATGCTTTGCAGCTAATCTTATTTTGCCGCTGGTTTCACGTTGGGAAGTCAAGAAGCTGACCTATTTCCCGCAAAATTTCCTGGGGTTTTGTTGCTTTAAACTCCAGGTTTGATCTCTGGTGCGATGCAGTTTAAGCATTTTCTTTGGCACCGCGGGTGGAGGACCACGACGTTCAAATGATGGATTTGTACTGGAAAGAATCCGTTTCACTCTTTCAGAGTAAGAAAATGTCAATTTTTGTAAGCGGAACGTTTTAACTAAATGAATTATTTTAATGCTGTCTTTCCGTGCAGTGTTAGTATTGAATTTTGTTTTGGCCAATTACCGCAAATGGCTGCCATAAAAAAATAATAAAAAAAAAAAAAACAGGTTCAACTTCTTCCTATTTCTAGTATCTCTCGGCCAAGTTTATTTTGTTTTGGTTTTGACCTCAACCAATCACAAGGTACGAAATCGTTATCCAGGCTATGGCTCGGACTGGAGAATTTCTGTCTACGTATACGTATACTCCATTACTAATCTCGTCGCGAGTGAGCCGCGCGAGTATTGCGTTTGCCGTGCGTGGTTATAGCTGCATGCAAACTCGGTTTGCCCAACAGGAAGGCAATTTGTTTGCGCATGCGTCAAAATGTTCTTTCTCTTTCTGAACTTGAATATGGTTCTTAGGAATTCGGCTTAAAAAGAGTTCACTTGTATTTGACAAAGCAAATGAGTTGGAGTAATCGTGATAGAGATTGAAAGAACACAAATTCACTTTTTAAATGACGTTTTCGTGGCCGTCGCCGTCGTGATATCTTAAACTCCCTATTGCTTATAGGGAGGATCGTATCAGGAAACGGTCCACTGTATGGTTCTAAATTCTAAATTCACCCATCGAGGTTTAAGCAATAATCGCTTTAAATTGTTGAAGGTGACGCCTGTCCAGATCAAACCCAAGCTTTTCCGAGCGATCCTTAATTCTTGGGCGTGGCTAGTTTCTCTCTCAATTTGCACTTTAGTGATTTTTTCCTTATTGGATTACCGAGGAGAAGAAGCACTTCCAGAATGAGCGTAACATATACGTGCTGCACTGTTCAAGGAAATGAGAATGATGTTTAAAAACGGCATATATATCTATTGGAAATTCGTAGCAGGCGAACATCGCAAAACCCTTTCTCCCAGTCCGGGTAAAAAAGTTACCGAGCAAAAAGGCAAGGCAAAGCATTTTTAGCAATAAATAGCCACGCAAGGTTATCAGAAAAGTAAGAGAGAAGACAAAGGAATTCTCATACAACACGATGGAAACAGACGAGACGTTGATTCTAAATTTCGGTTAATCCAAAAATGCTTGCTTCAGACTGAATTTTATGCAATCAAAGGACAGTGGTTGAAAGACACACCTTACTAACTTAATAAAAAGAAAGCTGAAAAATGAAGACACACTATGGGTATCAATCAACCGTTGAACCCCCTACACCCCCCACCCCCACCCCCAACCCGCATGTACCAAAAGAGGTCTTCGGATCTTTCGAGGTCAGGGCGTTTTGGCAACACTTAGTGGTAAACTAGAGACTGATCATGTACTACTTGTCTTTTTCCTGGGTCATTTTTTTTTCTTATCGTCGCAGAAAGAAGGTATAGTGATGGTACCGTGGTGCTTGATCTTTGAGCCGCTGCTGGCCAGACCGCCATGGCAGACAGTTGTGCTCGAGATGTTTTGAATGATCAAGCAATCTCCACCGCCTTATTTAGTGTTAGAGAGGAGCCTTTACTTATTAGCTTTTCTCTGACTTTAAGCGAGTTAGTGCC